GATGTTTCTTGACATGGAATTACATTTCTAGACATTTCTCGAATATCTCTTCTTCTTTTACTCGCACCTTTACTTATGATGACCACATCACACTGTAGGGTGATGGGTGGCATACTTATTCTTTTATTCGTACGTTTCCTAGTCGAAGGCTACTGGGTAACATTATTAATACATTCACCATACATCCCAGTATAATTTCAGTATAATTAATAATACAATAGCGACAGCTTGAGTCGGCTGCTTTGATGTCGAAGTGGTCAGATTTTTATTGACAGTTGACGTTTTTGTCGCTTATTTCTACACTGAAAAAAGTAACTTCAAAATATCTTGACTTTTTGTCTGTTTGCATAAAATATCACCCAATAGATAAAAGATAAAAACTAAGTCTAAATATAATAAAAATGTATTAAAATGTACATTAGAACCAATCAGATAATCAAAACAACCAACTACAATTAATCCTTTGACAATTTACATATGCCAGTTTGACGTATTTGCCGCTTATTTACGGACATGCGCAGAAAAATATGGAACCCTCATAAACAATGAACTGTTGCTACTGTATTAACTTATACTGGGCCTTACATGAAGAACAGTCATGTGATGCCAAAATATATTTTTAAGTACCAGATTTCTTAAAATGAACCAGATTTTTTGAATTCTCTTTTTAGTAACTATGAAGACTAGAGATAAGGAGGCGAATCGGCATACTCAAAATATGGTCCAAAAAAACACATGCTAATTGAGCTTTTATAATTAACCGCATGAGTGCTGGTACTGCTTACGGTGTTAAAAATACATGGCTTCTTGTGGGAATTATATATAATTTTGTTTATAGCTAAATAAAGCACAGAACATACTTCTAAATAAGACTCGTATGTTTTAATTGATAAATTATTTAATTTTATCTATATAAAATACAAATTAGGTAGGTATGACCAAATTCGAAAAGGTTTGTTAAATGCTGAAATTTGATAAGTCCAATTTTGTGGCAAATTTTTTTTTTTAGTTGAACCTATATAATGTTTTAAGAGCAAAATAAAACACAGTTAACAGATTTTTTATTGTTGTAATACAAGTATAAAGGGAGATTTGGGAATGTACATGGTATTACCTCATCCTTTAATTTCAAGTTTCCCCATTTTATTTTGCTAACAATACCATCAGTAAAAATGGTCTCATAATATTTGATAATATCTTCTAAAAAGTATAGAACAGCATCATGTCTAGAAAGTGCTTTATCGGCACTAGGAACGATATATATGCTGCCACTGTTTTAAGCGTTTAGTATCCTATAAAAACATTTACAATGACACAATTGGGGTTCAACAAAAAAATAACAGTAGCAACTCTTTATCTTACATAAAAACTCTATAAAAAATTTGTTTTCCAGTAAGTTAAATTTATTGTATATATATTGTTGTTTGTAAGTCAGGATCTATGACTGTAAAATTTTATATTATAGAAACTTGTAATAAAATAAACTACACTCTTTAAGATACTTATTGTGACTAGTTTAAAATAAATATTATACAGGGTGTCCCAATGAAAAGTAGCCCGTTTCTATTTGATAAAATTTGGTTACGATGAATATAAAAGAGAAGATTTTTAAAAAACACCCTGTATAGGTACTACATAATTTCTGTGTCACTGAAGCAAAACTTATAGCAAAATAACACATGTCAGCAAAAACTGCACGTTTCTATGATTTGTTTATAAAGCTCTGGAAATGGGCTACTTTTCATTGGAACACCCTGTATTTAGACATAAATACATTATTTTACTTACATTAGAAGCTTTAAAAAGACATTGATTTCTCCTTGTGTTTTCTTTAGTTTTACATTTGATTTGTATTTTGTTTTACAATCTGGAACGACGTAAATCTTGCTTTGATGTTTTTTGTCACTCATATTACCCTTACTCAGGTACTTTTTTCATATTATTTTGATTCTTTTTCACATTCTTTAAAAAATCACTTTATTTTACATTGACTTACATAGAAAATTGACACCGCTGTTATTAGACATGCCAGCTCCAGTCAATTGCGCGAACTTTATAAAAAGAAGGACGGAAATTTAAAATTTGACCATAGGCATGACAAAATAAGCGATACGTCACCTACAGTTTTAATTTGAAACCTTCCAGTGGGCCATTAATGTTTTGTTTACTCATGTGATTCAAGCATAATATAGGTCAATCTTACGGTTTCTGTTTGTATATGGTGTTTTAAAGACGTTTAATTGATAAAATTATTGTTTATTTTATCAAAATGAACCATCACTGTTGTGTTCCCATGTGTTCCTCTTGGGTAAAACTAAATAAAGAACTTAGTTTTCATCCATTTCCCAAAAAAGAACAACGTGTTTTGGTAGAAACAAAATTAGGGAAACGAGAAGCTGTTGATCGGAGGGAGGAATGGATAAGAAAATTAAAAATTGGAAAGCCTGTGAGTCCGTACATGAGAGTATGTTCATTGCATTTCTCTGAAAACGATTATTTTTATAAAGGTTAGTATTTAGTCGTTTTTTGTGTTTCCGTATTAATAGTTTTTGTTTGTAGGGGACAGCTCTAAATTACATAGATTAAAATTTAATGCAGTACCGTCTAGGAAGTTACCTTTGGAACATAAAATAGTATTATATATTTAGGTTATGGGTTAATGTAATATAAGGTAAACATACTTTTGCTAAATAAATACACTGCCACTATCTATAAAAATGTTTAATTAATACATATATAACCAACACTAAAACTAACAAAATCCTTTACACACTTTAAAAACGAAAAATTCAACACCTAATCTTACGAAAAACCTACGGCATGTCATATAAAAACAAATGTAAACAAACTATAAATGGCCCAGCGGAGGACGAAAAAGTGACCGGTAGAGGCGCTGGAGTCTAAGCTTTTTTCGCCTATTGCCGATTCGCCTCCTTCTCTCTAACTTCATAGTAGTAACTAATAAGTTTTCTGTCGTCTTATAGAGAACAAAAGGGACAACAACTTTACATGTCAAATGGACACCGGCTGCTACACATCAAAGTACTAGATTTAGCTACGAGTGTACTGAAGTACCAGATTCTTTGAGAATGTACTAGTTATACTATACAAGGGTGTAGTTTGAAATTCTTACTCCGGGGATGGAATTTAACAAACTACTGTTATCATATAAACCATAAACAATTAATTGTTGAGTGGATAATCTTATAGAAGAATGACTAGTTTGAAATTTTTTTTACAATTGGGTCGCATTTATTTAAAGGAATGGTCACATAATATTCATAAGAATCTAGCTATACGATGGGATCATTAAAAAGGGTTGGAGGAATATAATCGAACAGAGTTATGAAAAATAAACCCGGAATCAAAATTGTAAGTTTTAGACCTACCCAAGATTAACCCTGAGGTTATGGCTATAGTATCAGGAAATGCTATGGGGCCATTTCAACGAAAAATAAATTAAAGAGGAGGTACTAACTCAAAACATAAGTATAAAACAAGATAACTTGGGTACTAATTTTATTCCACAATGGAACAAATTTGCCAAGATCAAGTAATTCTATCATGATTAAAAGGTTATAAACTACCATTTAAGCTTAAACCTAAACAAATGGTTTATATCTGAAAATGCTTTGATTTATTCTGAATTAGGTCAATTACTAACTTTTAATCTGTCAAGATATACAAAATTTGTAAAAATCAATTATTTCTAATATTTTATTTTTATCTGAACCAAATAGTAAAAAAATTAATATTAGTTAACCTTAAAATATCAAACAAATCCCTTATAGAACCATTTTAAGATGTAGAATAGCCAGTGGCTATCAAATTAATGTCAAAAATTGTTTTATGGGGCCAATTGATTACTTATTTGTTAAAAATTCATGAACGTCATAGATATGTTAGACTTAAAATTTTTAGCAGTTCTTTTTGGTAATAACAGTGAACCTCTGGTATTCACAAAGTTATGAAAATCTGTGGTTGCGTATTCTCGAAGCAAGTGTCTAACTTCTACAGATCTATATGACCTTAATAATTGGCAATGCGTATGAAAGTTTTTTACATAAAGGCCAATTCTACCGTTGTGTTAAACGAAGTTTGAATTAATAACCTCTTATTTAAATATAATTTAAATATAAGGAGAGCAGAGGTGGGAAGGACGGGAACAACCAGTTGTTATTTTATAATTTTTTAAATAATTTTAAGAGTATTTAGACTTTAAAATATGTGGCCAGAAAGCGGGGAAAGGGGGGTTATACCTATGATCATCTCGAACTAAGCGTTTCATATAATTGAGATCGAACTTTACTTCTACCTGAAGTAAAGTTGTCGGATCTTTCAATTTTCTTTCATAAAAAATCAAATTATTAAATTATAGATTAAGTATTTAAAATTACGATAGAAATGTCTCAAACATTTAAAATTTTCGAATAAAATATGTTTTAGCTTCATATTTAGTTTAAAATTCGCCGTAATTTGTCCAAATAGTCCAGCTTATGGCACTTTCGCTTTCCTTGTTGGCACGTATTTTCACGATGTAATAATAGCCTACATATCCTATCCAGTAAATAATAGAAATCAGGAAATCAGTGATTGCGGAGGAGTAGGCCATCAAGTCTACGAACCAAGTCCTTAAAACACCCCTCCTACGAATTCTACGGACCTGACAATGTCAAAGTGACAATATGTCTACTGCTAGTGACATCATTGTTTTAAAATCTATTTAAGCGCGTTTAACTTCTATAGAAATAGATTCAACAAATCATAACTTGCATCCCACAAAGAAATTTTGAAGCAGGTTACGACCGACAAATTTAGAGTCAAGTCTACGAAGTCTTCGATAACGTCAGACTCCTCTGAAATGTGTCATTTGTAAAAGAAAAAAAAACTCATGCTTGATTTTTTCCAATTTCTACCATGGAAACTATCTTTGTGGGCTACTCAATACTTTCAAAAAATAAAAACAATAAGAATGGTACTATTAATATGATGATACCTACAAATAATTGTTCATATCTTCTACTGTTAATATGCCATCATTATCTTGAACATCTTTAACAAAATTTTCAGTAAGAGATCCATTATGTAAGGCATCCCCACCTTCTTCTGCAATTATTTTAAGGGTTTCTGCGAGTTTGAGAAGTTTCACATTTTCCCCTTCTTGATACGTGTCGTTAGTAACTGAATTTATGTAGATTGATCTGAAAACAATATTAAAAGTTTGTGTAATACAAGAAATGATAAAATGTTTGTGAAAAAAAAAAAGAGCTAATATTTCATTTATTTTTTTTATTGGCCTTAGGGTATATACCCACATAGCTAGGTGCAAGTCTTGAATTTGACCTAAGAAAAACTATTATCTGTACATTAATACATCAGAACGGTATATGGCGTAACTTATTTTACATCTAGGAAGGTAGAAAGCTATTATAAATATACCCAAATGGGTTGCCTAAGAAATTACTGTCTAGACTATTTATTTTTTAAAAGTAAAAAAAAACGACATACTGGAAAGTATTTCCCAGATGCTTCGACTATACCCAAAATTTAATCAGCTAACCGCAGGATGGATTAAAGCATAAGTTTAAAATTTGCTGTTTTTCTCTTTATCCGTTTTAGAGACACAATTTTAAATAAAAGTTACATCTACCTAAAAAATACATGTTTTAAAAATATTTTTAAATATATAGGGTGTTTCGTTTTTGACAGGCAAATAAAAATGTTATGTTTCTTAAATAAATTTTATTTTATCTTTAGAATGGTTTGGTAATACTCTATTCAACCATATAATATTTTTGAAAAATATACAGTGTTGCTAAGCAATTAATTTTTTTTTAATTTTGAGAATGATTCAGACCCCAAATAAAATTATTATAATTTAGGTAGGTTTACATTGATTTTAAAATTTGATATACAGATATATAAGATACTAAGTTAACGAATAAGAGTAATAGAACTCGTTTATTCTATGCAGTGTGTTTTGTAACATGTCTTAAATATGGCTAATTTTAAGTTCAATTTACTGCATTTTTTCAATTGCAACTCCCCGTATATTACCTTAGCATAAAATTCCTTATAAATTTGCCTATACTACGTTACCAATATGTTAGCTAATTACACCACACATACAGGGTGTCCCATCAGTGCGTAATTGATCGATAGTTGTTTTAGTATTAGAAATACGAAGAAATTTTTAATATAAAATTTGTATGATCATATATAACAATTATTCTTAAATATACAGGGTGGTCCATAAACGAGGTGTTGACCAAATGTATACTTTTTTAAAGCAAAACACCGTGCAGGTAGTTATACGTATTCGATTGTTTTCACATAGTCAAACATTTTTAATTGACTTCATTCATTTGTATATAGGTTATTTTAAGGTTATTTTATTTTAAAACGTGAGGTTACGATTTTTTCAATTTTTTAAATGTATTACCCTGAATTAATTAATTCGTGGTATAAAATATAGGGTATTCTATTTAAAAAATTGAGAAAACCGTACTTCGCATTTTGACACACCCTATTTACAACATAGCAAATAAATAAAGTCTATTAAAATTTTTTGACGATGTGAAAACAACTACCTGCTTTACTTTAAATATATGAAAGTTTGGTTAGTCCCTCGTTTATGGATCACCCTGTATATTTCATAAAATTTATACAACTTTTATATTATTATTTTTTTCGTATTTCCTATAATAAAACACCTATCGATCAATTTCTCTGACCCTGTATATGTGTTCTTGGCTAACATGTTGGTATCGTTGGATATGTAAATTTATAAGGATTTTTATGCTGAAATATTATACTGGGTGTTGTATTTGAAAAAATTGAGTAAATTGAACTTAAAATTATCCATATTTAGGACAAAGTTCAAGACCCTCTGTATAAAACAAACCAGTTCTATCGCCACTATTCGTAAGCTTATTATCTTATAAGTCTATATTTTTAACAATTTTAAAATTATTTTAAATCTACCTAAATTATGATACTTTAATTTGGGGTCTGCATCATTCTCTAATTTCAGAAAAAAATTAATTACTTGGTAAACCTGTAATATTTTTTTAAAAAATTCTAGGGTTAAATACAGGATTACCAAACCATTTTAAAACTGAAATAAAATACAGGGTGTTATATTTAAAAAATTTATATTTTTATTTGCCAGACAAAAAAGCAACACCCTGTATGTCCAAAAATATTTTTAAAATACATATTTTTTAAATCCATATAACTTTTATTTGAAACTTTTTTGCGTGTTAATAATACAAATTGAATTATTGAACAATTACGCACTAATGGGACACCCTGTATACTTCACCAAATCCGTAAAAATGCTAAAAAAATTATCCATGCTAAATTTTTCAAAACGATTGGCTACTAGTTTGAACGGAATCAATTGAAAAGCACAATTCTATATACCCATACCACATGAAATAAACCAAATACTTAACACGCTTCCAACAGACCAAAGAAAATACTGTACTTGTGTAACTATAAGAAGAAAACAAAAACTGCATATCTTTGATACAAATGTTCAAATCCTATTTGCCTGACATGTTCAAAAAAAGTTTGTCTCATTATGTGTAAGAAAAGAATAATGAACCTGTTAAAAATTGACTAGCAAATGGTTTTAATTTTCTAATTGCTTTTATATTGTCATTTTTTGTTTTATCACCTTGTATATAAGAAATGTTGATTTCGATGTCAATAAAAATAGAATTGTCAATAAATTATTTCAAATTAAAAGTATACAAGTTATTTCCAACCCTTAGAGAGACCATAAAAGCCGCTGGCCCTAGGTACGAGTGCGTTCCATTTTTTCAGTTTCAAATTATTTAGATTTATTTTTTATGAAATATTTATTACAGTTTGTTTTCTTATATTTTTTAAAATAATTAGAAATTATGACCTTTTTGTTACTCTCAAAAATGCAAGAACACTTTTGTTTCTAGTGTAAACTTATATTTTTGTAAATCTATTTATATCTAAAAATAACAAAAAAGGTAAACTAAAAAATGCATTTTTTATATAATTACGATTTTTAAATTATGAGTCCAGGCGACTCATGTTGGTAACGTAAGGGAGAAGTTTTCACCTATCAAATTATCGGTTAAACACGGATCACATTGCAACAACGTGAAAACTCCAATTTAAAGGTACGAGGCCATAGCAATATTTTTATAACATGAATGTAGTGTCTCATCTTGGTAAGGCTTTTTATGCTTCATTTTTTTTTAAATTATCTTTTACAATTATTTGGGTGTTGTTCTTAATATCCCGTATTTAAAACCTCTCTAAGATCCCTACATACGCATTTTCCAATGAAGACAACCTGTAACAACATAAAACGCACTTATTTGCAAGAATGTTTCACTTTATCTTCATTATACGAGCATTGTAAATACACCCCCTTTCGAGACAGTCGTTTAAACCGTACACATAATTTAACTCATGTAATACGGTCGTAAAGTAACCAAAATATAAACTGTAATAATTCGCTGGAACCAAATATGAGCCGGATAACAATGTTTAATGTATACAATGCTTTAACAATTAAAGAGATAATACTCCAGAGACCATTTAAGTTGCTTTTGAGGCGAGTTGTATTGCCATCTTAACACCGCGCATCGTAAAGCACAGCTGGTTCACTTTCAAAGTTTGATCATTCGGTTGCTACATGTAAATTGTTCAATTGTTTGTACCGATGTGAAATTTGTTAAATTTGAGGGTACAATAATAGTGAAACGGTCAGTGGGTGCTGTTCACGTTGATACATTTGATTATGTTCCACTAGTTGAAGGAGTCATTTATAATATTTATATTAATATGTTATTCCGTGTCCGATTGGAAAATTATACATTTATGATTTATTTTTTAAATAGCAAAATAATTCATTATTTTTCTCTAATTTTGTCAAAAACAGGTCCGGAACCAGGAAAAATCAACAATTCGCATTTTTTGTCGCAAAAAGTTTGAAAAGTATTGCAGTTTTACAGAACGATTTAAATAACCATAAGTAAATACAAATTTGCAACGCTCTAAGATTAGCGCAAATGATTGTTAATTAATTTCTACTTTTCATCAAATATTACTGAGGCCCTTCCTATGGGGCCTCAGTATTGCATTCGTGCAGACGAAAACATTTTCTGAACCCCATTTTTTAAAACTTTTTTTCATGTTTCTGATCATTCTGAATCGGAAAATCCAAAAAAAAAAATTTTCGTCTGGTCGTCTGTATGTATGTATGCCGGCACGATAACTCTAGAACGAAAGTTCTGATTGACTTGCGGTTTTGATTTTCTTGAATAATTACTTCTAACTTAGAACCCTATTGATTTTCAGAAATTTCGGTTCATCCTAACTACTTTAATAACAATTTTCTTAAAATCCGCCTATGCATTCCTTATGTGAACAATTTTAGGAATTTCAACTATTTCTAACGTCAAAATTCCTAACATTCTTCACACTCCATAAATTGCAAACATTCTCTAACGACCTGTCAAACAACAGCTGTTGATAGTAAAGGTGAAATTTCTAAGGCAGGTTGCGACCTTCATACTTGCAACCATATAGCCATTTTGGAGACTATTTTCATTCGAAATTAGTCGCCAAGCCTGCCAATTTATGAAAAATATATAAGCAGTTTTTTTAAAATGACTTTTTATGGTAGTGCTATTAAGCGTACTATTTAGCCCCTAGCCACAAAAACACCTTCATCAAATTTCTCTGTCGCAACCCCATAGAATAATTAACAGGCCATTTTATTTGGCAAAAATCAAAATAATGCTTGGCTGTGCCTGTCAAGTATCAAGATGTCAACTGTAATATGTGAATGGCTCTTAAATGTCAAATTATTTAAAAATGTATACTTATTTTAATATTTATTGCAAATAATAGATATCTCAATTCAGACTTTCCATAAATAAAAGTACAGCAAGACAGATAATATAATGTTCTTATAAAAAGCACTTTTTTATTATATAAAAGAGAGGTAGGATATAATGCCCATTTCAAATTTGGATCATTTATGATACCAAGGTATTTTGTTGTTTTTCATTTTAATTATAAAGTTGTCATTTATTTGTATATTGAAAGAAGGCCTTTGTAAATTACATTGTTCTCTATGGATCTACTTTAACACAAAAATAGTTTTGTGGCTATAAGTTGCTATAATAGTCCAAGAGCTAGTAACATAAATTTCATTGTTTGATGCACTTTGAAATTTTGTAATTTGAAATCATTTGGATGGAAAAGCAGATATTCCTCTGTTGGCTAGACCCACCCCGGGACACCAGGTACTGCGCATAATAGAAAGGGGTCGTAAAATATGACCCAAAAAAAGTGTTTGTTTCAGAGGCCAACAAACAACAATTGAAAGTTTAGGTAATTCTAAAAATACTAGTAATTTAGGCAGATACTTTTGAGAGGGTTTATAATTAATAAATCAACCCCAAAGTTGATTTTTTTAAATATGATTTGAAGTGTTTGATTCACGCTGAAATTTTAATAGCGTCTTAATTTAATATAAAAAAAAATTATTCCAAAAAGGCAGACACTTTTTCCAGGGTTTACTTGCCGGCCACCATAAAAGTAAGTCTTATTTACCATAGAAAGATATTAAATTAATATTTAGGAGTATAATAAAAAAATGCATTTATTTACAGTTCATCAAATTTCTAGAGGCTTTCGACGGCTAGACAAAGAAAGCACTACTGACAGGCATCCCGACGGATTTACGCAATGAAAGTACACTCTGCGCATCAAGTATTTCACTATTTCATTCAGACGTAAATGTCATATGTAAATTTCGCTAAAACATTTCTTTTATTTTCGTTTGTGTTTTTTGCTCATTACAGTTTAATATAACTTAAGTATGGAATTTAATAGCAAATTAAGAGGCCGCGTGATTAACAGTCAATCTCGCGAAATAATAGCCAATGTTATAGAGTTTATGAGAAGAGAAGGAAACTTTAATTCACCTTCAATACCATTTAAAAATGTAAATGATCGTGTTGCTGCAGCCACAGGAGTATCTAAAAACACTGTCGTCCGCATTTCTGGAGAGAAAAAAAGAATCGATAACCGTGAGATATCGGAATTTTCATCACCAAGAAAAACCATTAAAAAACCAAAAACAGTTAATGATATAGATGAAGCTGCACAAGAATCAAATTTTATTTTTTTATTATTAGATAGCTATTTTTGTTTCTGAGTTGTGTTCATTTACAGGCTCAATTTTTTTCCGTTTCTCCTTTTTGATTTTATATGGGGTTTCAAGTTGGTTTCGACTTATTTCGACGTTAATCACAACAACACACTTTTTTAATAAAGCAAACAAGTGTTAAGAGGTATATGTACGTGTAAACTACAATTACAAAAAATTGATATGAAACCCATGAAACCACCAACAAAAATATAAAGCTAGCTTCCGTACTAGAACATGGTGTCATTCGTCGAGATAATTTATCGTTTTGTTTAATAGATCAAGAAATGTAAATATTCCCCTGTTATTTTTTATAAAATTATAAGAGAAATAAATTTTTTTCTAAATAGTATAGTTTATTATTTTGTAGAAAAACAAAATTTCGAAAATTTTAGTAATGTTTCAGAAACAACCGTTATTAATAATAGGTACCATTTTCCTTAATAAGGTAGAAATGAAATATAAACTATTTCCACGATTTACAAAGGCCTACAAAAAAATTATAGGTATTTTCCGCTATCCTATAAAATTTATATTTTCTGACTCAATTTCAAAAGGTTGAAGGAATTCCAAAACACCTTTTATGGCATAATAATTATTTTCAATTCTACATACTATCTTTAGCTGCTTTTAAAAACGTTCTAAGAAAGTCCAATCAGACCAATTTAATCCCTAAACTATTCCACACTTTTAAAATTTAATTACCTAATAACTTGTTTAGCAGACTGTACAATAGCTATCTTAGTCACACGTAGCGCGTTCTCTGTCTGGGCGTCGAACACCTCTAGAAATTTGATGAACTGTGTGTTTAAGCTTTTAATCTCTAAAGATTAAAAATTATTACAATTAAGTAATAATGATACTTATATAGTTTTTACATCATATATTTATGTGATTCCATTAAATTACAATGTAGGTATCATTTGACATGATAAAATTTTTTGTAAATATTTGTAATAAATTGTTATATATTATTATAAGCGATTCCAAACTTCTATCAATATGTGCTCGGTGGCGCAGAGCGTACAGTGGTCAAAATTTGGATAGTGTTGATAGCAAGTTGGTGGTTCGAGCGCCCGAAACTTTTTTTTTTAAGGAAAAACTAAACATTTTAAATTACCAAGACTGTGAAATAATAATAAAAAAATAATAATATTTTTCCTTTTTTTAAGAAAAAAAAAAACTAAAAGTTTCGGAGCTCGAACCACCAACTTGCTATCCACACTATCAATCGCACTAATCAATTCTTACTACAATACAATACTACAACAAACAAATACTTGACTATAACTAGACAGAATCTGCGTCTGATTAAAGGCATTCTGACTGGTCATTGCCAAGTACGGAAACATCTCCATTTCGTGGGGCTGTCAGAATCCTCACCCTGCAGGGGGTGCGAACAAAAAGATGAGATCATTGAGCACATCCTTTACGATTGCCCGTTGCTGCCATTTATTAGAAGATTTGTTTTCGGCGAGTATTGGCTAACACCGGCCGATATAAGAGAAGCACCTCTTGGCGACGTTGTCAACTACATTAAATCTGTAGGCTGGCTCACAAGCTAGGAGGTACCTATCATCTTAGGAGGATACACAATGGGCCTAGTTAGACCTAAGTGCTGTGGGGGTAATCCACCCGCCACACGTTACTTATCCAGAAGTGCTGTAGGTAGCAGTAACTGCATTTCGATTGCATCCTGATAGCAGCGACTTGGTTCCTCGAAGTGAGTTTGTCATATTTTAATTATTGTTTTGTATTATTGTTTATTTACTGTTTTAATTTGATTGGTTTGAAAAACAAAAAAATAACATATTTAAATAAAAGACTAAGTAATTAAACGTAGGCGTAAATTATCATTATAGGTACTTAATACTGATTTAGAATTAAAAAAAAAAACATTTACAGATAGATGCAAGAACGTTCAATAAAATTTACGAAAATGTAATATAAATTTTAAAACTATCTAATTTCTAATTACTACTTAGTTAAATTCAACTACTTAACTATGCTGCAATTTTCACAAAACGCTAATAATAATATACCAAACGTTACTCTACATACATTGACAGCTATATTTGACGTTAAACCACCTCTAAAACACTGAGAAAACTTGGTAATTTTTTGTCCACGAATCGCCCATTTAAGGTTTGTTCCAACATAAACCAAATCAGTTTGTGTACTGTCGGGATTCTGCGCAGTCTAGAATTTGTGTTCCAACAAACCGTAGACTCGAAACTGTACAAAAACATAGTGTTGTGTACTGTCAAATCAGTTCCTGGGTCTGAATAGGAACGAATTGTCAAGACATGCGCTAAGCCGCAATAAACTGAACATTTCGTGATTGTAATTATATTATTTGTATCTATTGTCTCTGACAGTTCTGATTTGTATTTGTTAATCGAGCTTAGTCTTCATAGTTTTTGTTCATGATCATTTATTTTATTTTGTGGTTTATTATTGTAATAATGCGTCTGTTGAATTTAAAAAATGTGTTCCAACATAATTGAGTTCCGAGTTGAATCCCAATCCCCGACCAGTACCTGACAAGTTGTCAATTACTAGTCATCGACAGATTGTCAACAATAAGTTTTGGACTGGTTTATGTATTGTTCCAAGATCGTTGTTGGAACAAACCTTTAGTTTCGCTTCTTTGATTTCGTGGATAAAAAGTTTTTAGGTGTAAACCCGTTACAGTCCTACAGCATCATTGACGAGGTAGTCCTAATCAAATTCTTACAATATCCAGGCAAGGCGCTAGCACCTTAGCGATTCTGCTTTAGCAATTCTTAGACATGTGTAAAGAACTATCCTTCGTATTAAAGGTTTGTTCTGTTTTCTCTGCAACGAGCAATAATTAACAATAATACCCTGACCAAAGCGATTAATTTTACAGCTGTACATTGAACTATTACATTTTGTATTTTCAACTGCTCAACTGCTTTTAGGGCAGTGGCTGCAATGAATTGTAAATCTATGATACGCAATTATTTTTCTTTGTAAATTTATACAAACCTTTAAATATTTTATTGGAAATTTAAAAAAAAAGTTAATTATTTACCTCATGACAGGATCCTTATATAAAAAATCTTTCTTTCGTTTATACACGCCAGCTAAATATGATGTCACTTTGACTCCATTGGTACAGATTTTAATAGTTGGTTCAATCAATTCTCTCCAAGAAACTTTTCCACCAAACTTTTGGTAAAGATGCCAATAGCCTCTGAGTTCACTGGGTACTCCAACTGCTTTACCACCTGAAACATTGAATTATATAAGACTTAAAACTATATTTGAAATAATAGAGGGCATTCTTTTTGTACCTTGAAAAAATTCACGTATATTTTTTAATGTCAGTTTGGACATAACTCGTATCTCTGACTTTGTGGATTATGGACTATTTAAAAAAAAACATTTTTGGTATTTTATGTTTAATAATATAGCTACAAAATAATTAACCCCTATGGTGAAAGCGAATTGAATAGCTCCACCCGGACATTTACCATACGCGTGCTAGAAGCCAACCAAAATGAAGGCAGCTAGAGACACCTCCAGGCGACATTATTAACCTGAGTAAAAAACTTTTCTGACGAGCTGAGGGACTGGTCCTTTATGACCCTAAAGGCTTTACATTTGGCTTGATAGGACCTAAGTGCTGTGAGATAACCGTCGCCCTTTCTTTTTTTCACCCATTTTTAAGCATTCTCCATACTCCCCCAATCATGCTTGGGTCCAGCCACTGGCTGCCCTCAATCAGGCTTGGGGTTCAGGCTGCTTTCCATCCTCTGGAATTCGCATGGAGACACTGAAGCTCAGATGGCTTATTGTCACCCTCCTAACAGATACACTATTGACATATAACACTAATACCGTACTATGCTCTGCTTTAAACAGATACAATCACATAACCAACTCAAATGACTTGATTATTTTAAGTTAGTATCTAGATGCATATTCTGGAGCTAGATAGGCTCAATCTTTGTTCGTGGTTACCGACAAATTTGGTAGTGGTCTGGTCAACAGTGTCCATTTTTAGTATCTAAGGGATGTTGCTGTTTTGGCAGCATTTTTGTGCATCATAACTGCTCCCTGTTGCTTTAATCTGGATAACTTCGACGTGGCTATTACTAGCACAACTATACAGTTACATTCTTTATGTACATACGGTTTTAATATATACGAGTATTATGCTTATAGAGAAGCAGGTAATTGTATGCAGACAACTTAGAAATCCATCCCAGCAAAAAATACATGTTTTTTTAATTTAACACCAATCTTTTTGACATAAGTCTAGTATCTTACGTCATACCCAGATATTTTGTTGGACTAGCATTGGGAATCCGATCTTTATACTTACTAGTTAATGTTGTCCTTGTTTGATTCGCTATCTCTTGGTCTAAACAGTAACTTGGATTACTGAAGTTGGAAATTATTTATTTTTACAGCTATAACTGCAGTAACGTTAACAAACGTAGCTACTGTATCATTGTAAAAATAATTAGCATTAAATCGAAATCCTAAAGAATGCTCTTTTTAAATAAACTTTTGCAGTAAGTTGTACTTGTCGAAGTGTTTACTATTACGACCAATAGAAACGAGCTCTCGGTACTCGTATTTTGTCACAGCGTACCGACAAAACTAGTCTTGTAAGGCTGTATCACGTATGACAACAGCGCTACTGATTTTATGCGAACTGTTACCTGGTAAAATCCTAGATGGTTTTCATTTGATTTCAAATACTGCAACGCGTAGAATAACGGTCATAAGTAGATGAAATATGGGACTATCAAGCCACTTTGGTAATATGGGCATCAAGTTCTCGTATTCAGCGAGATCTTCGGTACTTGAAGAAGCCTCTGGAGGAGTCTCGAAAGCGAAGAAGAGAAGCCGAATAATTGACGATTAAGAGACATTGAAGAAGTCTCTGGAGACTCGAAGACAAAAAAAAGGAGAAGATGAAAAAGCTGAAAAAGAAGAGACGTGGAAGGATATTTTCTAGATTCGAAGACAGAAAAGAGGAGCCGAAGGAGTGATGTCGAACCAGAGGAGACGTTGAAGGAGACACTGGAGATTCTAAAAAAATGAGAGGGACCGAACGAGCGACGTATGGCCATTGACGGCGAAGAATACGCTGCATCAGCATTGCCAAAAAGATATAACGTATATCTCCACTATTATTGGTCCGATTCAAATTGAACGAACCACATTTAACTTGAACTGTCATTTTTAATAAAAAAAATTTGCAGTAGCATTCCTTATGTATAAATTTTACAGTAAAATGTTTTACATATACAGAGATAATTCAAAAACGCCATGTATAAAGTAATATAGTTCTTAAAAAAAATTTAAATTTGGAGAGAAAAATATGGTCTAAAAAAATATTTCCAACAATAAATAGGCTTGTCAGCAAAATATTTGTTTTAATGTTAGTTTGGATTTTATTCAATGGCGTATGTAGTTATCATAGGCACAGTTCGTATCTCTGTCTTCGTCGATCAAGGCGTAGTTTTTTTTTGATCGAATGTTATACGTATGAGTTTTTTATTTTGATTCTGAAAAACGATTGATAAAAAAATTACCCCACTTTGAAGAATCTGGATCTTTTAAGTACATATCTCGATGAGCGTTTTTAGGAGCTGTTTCTCTAGCATTCATAGTCCATACCTCTCCTGTTGTTTTGTTATACAAAGTCACTAAAAATCCTCCACCAAGGCCCATTGATTGTGGCATTGATACTCCTTCACAAAACAGGGCTGCAATGGCAGCATCCACAGCGTTTCCACCTTTTTGTAAAATGGCACTAAAATTGTTAAAAAAAGGTGTAATATTTTTATAGTGATTAAGAACATTAATTGGTTGCGTTTTTTTTTGTTCAATTTTATAATTTTTATTTGAACTTAGACACATAGCCATAGAACACAAAACTACATCATATTAAACAATGTTTTGACAATGTTAAATGTGGGTGTCGGCCACGATGTAACTATTCGCTCCGTGCAAAGTCATGGAAAGGGAAGCAAAAGCGATACTAGCGCTAGCTGCGGATAATTCATGCATTTTAGGGCGATATTTTGTAATTTTGGCATATCAAATACACGTATACATTTTACTTTTTTTCAAAAATGTAGGTAAAACTAATACAATAAACAACCGGAGTTGCTGTGTTAAAAATTGTACAAATACTAGCAAAAAAAAAACAGTGAAACTTATATAAAAAATTTCAGTAGCAAAGTGGAAATTAAATCAAAGAATTAAATGGATAGGTGTACAGTAAGAAGAAAAATTACCTTTATTTTTGTAATAATAACAGTAATGCTGGAAATAGTAGACATCAGAAACTTGAAAGGTTTTAAATAAACAATAAATTATCAAATTAAAGTTGAAGGTAGTAGCCATGTGTGAGTTATATGTTCAAAAAAGAGGTAAATAAAACAAGGGTGGTCCTTAAGATCTCACAAGAGTAATTTAATACGACCGGTTTCGAGGAGATCAGATCCTCATCATCAGGTATGGTCTAAAATAGAGAGGTAAAAACGAATGAGCTCATAACTAATAAAATGGGTTTAAAAATTATGAAAGTTGTCAAATATCAAGAACTCACCCGTATTACTCATCTATTTAAGACTAAGCTTAGAGATTATCACAGGGTCGGTGTGAAAAAACAAGTATGCGAGTATTTTTTAAGAAATGCATAAAAACAGTAGTTGCAACAAAAAGTTGATGTCAAAACACAAGTAGGTCTAAACTATTAATTAAAATTATTAAAATATTTCACGAACGGACAGACATTAAGACAAAACAAATTTAAAAACTTTTTTAAACCCTACAAGAACTAAAATGGGTTCTTAGACAACATGAAGTGTTTATAATTCTGAAGGTATAATTTTTTTTTATTTTAGATTAAAGATACTAATTAACGCCCTCTAGATATAAATAGACGAATTAACAATTCTACTATTTAAGAAAAACAGTTTAGAGATTGTCAAATTTAAATATTTTGACATCGGCTAATAGATGGAGTTGGCGAAATAAATTAAGAAACGATCTCCCTGATGTAATCGCACATCGTACAGAGAGTTAAAAAATCGTATAAATACATTTTAAATCATACGATTGGCAACACTGAGACAGACAGTAGACGTGGACACCAGTGGACAGTTTGTAAATATAAATGTCAGTTTTATGTATATCGAAAAATCCTGAATTTAAATTTTAAATTTTGAGTTTTATCCTCTATATGAACTAAGCGAAATAGTTGTGGCTGTTTTTGTGTGAAATTTGAGGACAATAATTATATTATGTCGGAAAACGTATTGCATTCGTAACACATGCCACATGAACAAATTTAACAACCCCAATGTGGCGTTCTTTAATTAACCAAAGTAGGTAAGATCTATTCATGTAAGTAACATAAATAGTAATCAACTTTTGTCACAAAGTAGGTATTTATGTATTATTTATTGTTTTAGATCAAGAAAATGGCTTCAAAACGTTAGAAAGAAGATTTGATATAGGAAGAAAAATATCTGAATTCCCATTGTTGGATTTGCACTCAAGTTACCATTGGGCATTCGTTTGGAAAATAAAAACAAAAATGCAATGTTACAAATAACAAATCAAAAATTAAAAAAAATATTTGTCATGAATATAGATATACAATAATTAAAGATAATAGACTGTAAGTGTAGTATTCTTTTTAATAAATAATTTAGCATAATAACATTGTTTAAGTTTATTTACAAGAACATGAGAGTGCTGTCGATATTTATACAATCTTTATTATCAGGTTTTTAAATTTCCCGCTGCGTTGTTCGATATCGATGAAAGCGACACATAGCGGGTCAGATGTTAACTACGATAAAGCTGATCGTTGTTAAGCATTAGCTTCTTATGGGCGTTTTCTATCTTTATCTCCCTTATCTCTGATTACTATGTGTACGAATAACAATTAGGTAAGTAGGTAGGTGGTAGGTAGGTAGGTAGATAGGTGTTTATAAGCACAGAATATTCGATCCAAAAAATATTAAATCTATTATTCAATCTGCATTAGGCACATTAGGCAGCCGTCCAGCCACCGATCTTCAGCAGTAGAACGTCTGTGTCTTACGAGCAATTTGTTAACTCGCTACATTGAGCTGAAGATTTGTGGCTCATTTTGAGAGGCTGAACCTTTACCCAATGTAGCGCCAGCTTAAGAAATTATATTGTTTACGCATATTTGAAGCTTATTACTTTTATATAATTTATAAAATGTTTACATTTAATTACTCTATTACTTTTTTTGGGGTTGGTTCAGTTGTGATTTCTTACCTGCAACATGGCGTTTAAGAAATTCAAACACGGTCAAATGCTCCATGAGAGTGCGAAAATTATTATTTTTAATATTATTTGTTATTTAGTCAATGACTATAAATTGAGTGTGACTGCAGCGGTAAGTCGTGCTTCCAAAATGAGTGGGGTAAGAGAAAAAACAATTATACCATCAAGAAAAAGGGGAACAAAACAATGGCAAACTAAAATCTCCTGCAAGTAGAAAAAAGTGGATAAGGCAAAAACTCGCGAATATGATGAGGGTTTTAAGAGTTTATTGAGAGGAATTGTGCACAATGAGACTGGACCTTTCTTTTCCGGTCCCATCATAGCGAAACGGAGTGCTTCATAAGCCTTCTCAGTGTGTCTTGCACTATAGAATAGATACGCCTTGTTTAGATTAAATTTGTTCCCAACATCTTTCTGACAATACGCTCTGCCTATATTGTCTTGCATCAAATATCCTGCATTAAATTTGTATTAAAAAATTTACTATTTCCTTTAATATAATCTGTTAATATAAGAACAAGTTATAAAATTAAAAATTTAAAAAACCGACTTCAAAATCATGCAGATGCCATCACCACATTTAAACCAAATTTATATGGTACCACACCTGAGGTATCCCCTTACTAACGAAAAAAGAATCATAGAAATCGGACAAGGTGGTAAAGAATTATCGCTAAACATACAAAATATGAACACTTTGAGGATTTTCTCATAGACCTAATTATTAGATTTTAACCAAATTTATATGGGATCACCCCTGAGGACCCCCTTACTAAAATAAGAATTATAAAAATCGAACAAGATGGTAAAGAATTATTGCGAAACATACATAAAAAATGAAAAGTTTGAGGATTTTCTCATGGACTCAATTATTAGATTTTGAACAAATTTATACGCGACCACCCCCGAAGTACCTCCTTTCTAACAAAAACAGAATCATTGAAATCGAATACCGTGTTTTAAGAATTATCGCTAAACATACATACATTAAAAAAATATATACCGACGAATTGAGAACCTTCTCCTTTTTTGGTCAGTTAAAAATGTAGTAAAAAAAAAATTTTAGCTGCAAAAATTTTTGTTGAATTGAAAGTACAACGTACAAAACACAAGTGATTTGAGGTGGATGCGCCTTTAGGATTTGTCTTAAAAATTATTATTAGTATCAAAAATAAAGATATTCATTACGTTTGTCGTTGATGATATAACAAATTTATTGGAGACATTTCAAATTTTGGCGTAACCTATATCGTACCCTTTAAAAATTTGCCTTAAATCAATTGGAGACACAACTATTTCCTAAGTTACAATCTTCGAGCATATATTACTAGAGCCATCGTCCAAATGGACTTTGCTTTGGTACAGGGGGTAAAAATAGTGTCCAGCATTCCCATTGGTCTGTTTCGTTTTCCTTGGCATATCAAATCGTTCGAAATTGTCAGAACTGTCATTTGTATTTTATTACTTTACTGATACAAATTTTAACAATGGTGAGAATTTGTGTAAGTTGTAAATAGAAATAAGAAAAGGTATCGTTAAGGGCATTTCACAAGTAAGTAACCATTAGCGTCTCTACCATTTTTTTAAAAGAAACATAGTACCTACATTTTATGCAAAAGGCCGTTAAACATGAATTTAAAATAAATGGTAAATTTGGTGAATTAAATTTAAAGAACTTGTATTATGTATGATGAATATTGTTTTTAATTTTGGAAAAAATAATCATAATTTTTCAATATAAACAAGCTTTTTGTTTTTAAGTGAATTTATCATGATAATTTTGAAGATGTTAAATCAATAATTTTTGTTTTTTGTAGGTTTCCAGCTAATCCTCCCAAAAAAAACGCATTTGGCGAAACATATATTAAAACTTACTCCAGAAATCATTTCAAATAGTGATGTTTTATGTTCCAATATTTTTTCTGGATATATATATTTATGTCAAAGACTGGATGCGGAGAAAGAACTAGATTAATTCTAGGTGCACTGCCATCAGCATTTACTGAGGCCCCAGAAGAAGATGAATCTAAAAAGTAAAGAACCCTGCACTTTTCTTGTGGGTTAATCGTTCCAAATTTTTAATTTTTCAGTAATGATCTGAACCATGAAGCCTCTGTTGCAGAAAAAGAAAATGCAGAATTACAAATATGTAAGTAACTAAGTACTTTTTAATACAACATAAATTTTATTTTAAAATAATTACCTATTACTACCTATATTTTTATAAACCACAAAAATTGACAATAATTATTTTTTATTAATTGTACCTATGTTCTAGTCGTTAAGAAATAAACAAAACATTATTTGAGTTTTTCAATAAAAAAGTCATTTTAAGCTTTTTTTATTTGCACTCCTAGTCATTAAGAAATAATCGAAGCTTTAGACAGTTTTTCAATAAAAATGAAGCTTCACTTATTTGTTAACGACTGCCAGTGCAAATGTATTAACTTGATTTCTATTTGTAGTATATCGTTTAGTAAT